TTGGTTGGAGTGCCCATTTGATTCCTTCCTTTCTCTTTCACACAAAAACGAGGCAAGCTCGTTAACGGGATCGTACAAATGTTGTCCTCTACATTATTATATTCAATGGGCTGCCTACAAAGGTACTGATGAGGAATTCTCTTGCGTTGCTGCCAATGAATTACATGCTAATGAACTGGTGCCTGCATTTCATGTTCACTACCCTCATAAGCCTGGACCCTGATTATAAAACATTTTCTCCTTTCCCCAAAATCCCGATCTCTGCCGAAGGTTACTTTGTTGCTTCGAGAGGGTAAACACAATGATAGCAAATTGAGTGTTTACTCTCTTGCTTATATTGTTCATTTTCTTTCTCTTACATTGCTTATTTGATCTATTAACTTTAGCTTTATTTGCTTCTTGTTAAGATCATGTACACTGTGAAGCCGTGCCAGAGGCCACAAGGTGTCTAAGGGCAGAGGGTCAAATGGGACAGTAGTGAAGTTATTAACAACACCGCCATTACGTCGCTAGTCCCCGGAGGTCAAGAGTAGAGAAGGAGAGAGCCAGAAGCAGCCAAGTCGGAGCAGCAATATTGCCGACGACAGGGAGCGAACCAAAGAACTTATAAGTCCTAAGGTCAGAGTAAGGAGGACTTCAAGGTGACAAGCCTGAAGACTTAAAGGACAAGAGACGAAGATCTAGTGATCAAAGTTAGAAAGGATGATCTAAGTTGATCATGAAACTGAGGAACTACAGTATAGTACAGGCAGTATTTATATCTACTAATTGGTGTATTGGGGCGGAGTGCCAGACTAGCTACTAGGAGCTATACGTATAGTACCTGCAGGGTAAGGAATAAGACAATAAGGAGAGACTAGAATGAATGGGTATGTGTAGCGAGAAAGAACAATAAGCAAGGGATTACAATAAAGGCAGATCTCGGAATACCAAACAGCGGAGCGGGGCGCCAAGGCATGGACTTGACACTTCTATGTAACACTACTTTACTTCAATTTAATTCTCTCTGCTGTCTCGTGGCCTGTTCATTCTTTTTGTTACAATCCAAGTGATTAACATTTCTTATATACAAACAACAAATGTGAAATTAAAACATACACAGTATACTGATCTTATCACCATTTAAGGGCTCAGTCTGCTTAGAGTTATTTCTGTCGTCCATGATGATCCAGCGAGGTCATCCAATGAAGTCGTAAAGTGAGGCACTTATAAATCACTGCATTGTACGTGATATCTTTGCTTCTATTTGTAACAATTACACCCGGCCATGGTAGGTGAAAAGACTTGAATTCTGGGACTGGGACTGCCAAGTGGAGCTCACATAGATAGGCAGATACACAATATATACCTTATGAATATATAAAGTAAATTTTGGCATATTTCACATTGCACGATCAATGCTGCTTTCTTCAGAGTCAGGGATTTGCCATGCCAGCACAGCATTAAGGATAAGTAAGTGAAAAGTGCATGTTGTATCAGTAAGCATGAATAATAGGTCAGGTGACAATGTAAGACAAGATAAGACAAGATATGAGATAAGGGAGATAAGAGATAAGACAAGATAAGAAAAAAGATAAGATGAAAAGAAGTAATCATAACAGAAACATTGGGGGATCTGGTGAGCGTAAGGTAGGTAATTGAGATTAAGTACTAATAGAGTTAGTGTGTGTTACTCATGGATTAGGAAGGTCCCCTATATGGTGTCAAGGGAGCTACTGTGAAGGTTGGGAAGGTTGTGGATAATGAGAGAGGTTGTGGGGAGTACTACAGAGGTGAAGAACGGGTCTGGGAAGCTAGAAGAGAGGCAGGGCATGACAGATCTGCTCTTGGTGGTTAGCCAAATATCCGGGTTTTGCAGATGTTGCCCTTGTTGGAGCTGTTGGGTTTTGATATATATCACTAGATGTTGGTGTATTATGTTATAAGTCCTGGTGATTGAGATTTGGATTTTGGGAGGAGAGGAGAGGAGGAATGATTAAGGGTGTAAGGTGGTGTACCGGACTTGTGATTGATTGAGAGAATATAAGTATAGAATAATGATAGATAGAGCATACATATACATAGCGCGAGAGAAATAAAAAAATAACTGGACTTTTATTTGAGATTTCCGACACGGGGAATCGAACCCCGGGCTATCGCGCATGAGACTGTGCAAATATGCATCATGAGAGGCGATAATGTTAGCCACTACACCATATCGGAATGCTTGTTTGGGCATTCTTTGTATTATATATAAAGAAGTGAAGGGAAGGATTAGGCGTCGTAGTCTTACCTGTGTATGGCTGTATGTTGTATATGAATGAATGTTTAATGATATTGGATGTTTGACGAGACTATTTATCGGAGTTGATAATATACATAGAATCTAATTTTTATGTGCGGGTTGGTATACCGGCTAATGTACGCCAGTTTGAGACGGCTTTTTTGAGGTAGGGGTTTGGGGTGTGGGTGGGCGCGTCGTCATCTTCGCTATCGTCTACAGCATCATCACTCCCCCCACCGCCACCACCTCCGTCGCTCCTCCTCCGAAGAGTACTCCCAGTTTCAATACGAGTACCTCCGATTCTGATACCGAGCTGCCCCAGGAGATGCGCGCGTCCGAAACGAAGTTCCATGTGTGTCCAGAGGTGGGAGAGGGCGGAGAGGCGGCGGAGGGTGCCGGGGTAGGGGGAGGAGGGGGGGAAGGGTGGAAGGAAGGAGGAAGGGGAAGATGAAGGAGAAGAGGTAGAAGATGAGGCAGGGGAAGGAGAGGAAGCGGAGTAGTTGGGAGAAGAGAGAAAGGCGCGCATGAGAGCGATGTAGAATGGGAGGTCGGGGGGTGGGAGGGAGTTGGGGTCTGGGTTTGGGTTTGAGGACGGGGGAAGAGGAGGAGCTGCGGATACGAGATGTTATTACTTTGATAGGAAGAGAAAGTGAAACGACTCACGGTTTTCTACGTCCTCGGATATTGTTATAGCATGAAGGACTTGGTGATCCTTATGCAGACCCTCCAAGCGATCAAGGATTATCCAGACTTTGGATTCGTGGCCCTGCCATGCCCACCACCGGGCCATCTCGGTGTAGTGGTAGATTGTTGGGGAGAGGGAGAGGGAGAGGAGGGTGCGGAGGATGGAGGTGGGGGTTGGAGTTGGAGTTGGTGATGGGAGGGGTGAAGTGGGATAAGTGGAAGCGTGCATGAGTTTGATTATGAATGGAGTGAAACATTCTGCGATTATGGGTGAGGGGTGGGCGTGGGAGCTCCATTGGAGAGGTGGGTATGGGGTGTTGTTTGAAGGGAGACGATGACCGCGGCTGGTCCATGATTGGGGTGTTTGAAGAGGCGGGGAGGAGGTGGTGGTTTGGACTTGGGATTGGGGACTCGCGTAGTGGACGAGCTCGTTGTAGAGCTCGATGAGGGCGTGGTGGGAGGGCGCGAGGTGAGCGAGGGATTGCCAGATGAGGGAGATGTGGAGACGGGAGGGAAAGAGTTTTGGGAGGAGGGGTTGGGGGAGGGAAGCGAGGGTTGTGAGGTAAAAGTGGGTGGAAGGGTCGGTGGTGGTGTATTGGAGAAGAGTAGAAGGTGAGACTCCGTGGATGTGGAAGAACCGGAGGAAGAGATCGAGGAGGGCTCGGAGGGCCGAGGGGCCTAGACCACGGGTACCAAGACGGAAGAGGAGAACCATGTGTGCGAAGAGGAGGTGGGAGATTGCGCGGAAAGGGATGGGGGAGAGACGGAGGGTGCGCGTGTGCAAAAGGGAGATGGCGTTGCGTGAGCTTGGTGCATCGCGTAGGGAGATGTAGAGAGTGAAAAAGTTGACTAGGTCGTGCGTTGGTGGAAAGTTGCGAGGGTCAGGGGAGAGGAGGGAGCGGGAGAGGTCGCGGAGAGTGTTGCTCCCCCTTGGAATTGGTTTTGACCGGGGAGGGTTTCTCGTCAGCCCACGCAGCTTGGAGATGTGGAGATCGCGGGTGGGGGATGGCGGGGATGCGAGCAGACGGGAGAGTAGGATAGAGTGGGTTAAGGGGTTAAGGGGGTACTTGGGGGACAACAGCGAAACAGCGTGGTCGAGGTGACCAGCTTCAGCCAGGAATCGGATTGCGATTGAGCGTGTGATTGTCAGCGTTTTGTGCAGCCCACTTGGGGATTTGAGTGTGAAAAAGTAGGATTCGATGGATGATTCGTAGGTGCGGTAGTATTTCTCAAATCCAGAGGAAGAATATCTCGATATGGACGGGAGCAGGTGTCTGTTGGAGAACGAGATGTAGCCTTTGCCTGCGAGGAGGACGGAGAGTGTCGTGTAGAACGCGAGTGATGTTTTGGGCGTGGATTTCAGGTGTGTGTGCAGGAGAGAGAGCGGAGCGGGGTGCAGTGGGGGGTAGTAATTGAACCACAGTTGAAAGTCACTGATTCGCGCGCTGGAGGAGAGGGAGAGGGAGGGATGGAACGCCATCAGCGCGGCGGAGAGGAACAGCGGAGATGGCGGGATGGGGAGTGCAATCGACGGTGAGAGCAGGTCTAGCAGCAGTGTCCGCGTCGTCCCGTACGTCGATGGGCTCAGCGTCTTTAGCAGGTTGTGCAGCGTCGTCAGAGTCGTCTCAGGCGGCGGCGGACGCGGTGATGTGTATTCCTGATATGGTTCAAATATATCCTCATTTGTATACCTAAAAGAAAAAAAAATTAGTTTAATTACTACTTTGGTCGTTGTCACTCACCGTCGAGCAAACGCTGGAAATCGAACTACACATCGACGAAGCATCTTGTGACGTGTGACTCGTGTGACTAGCTATGATTCAAACTGGGTTGATCACCAGCGCACACTCTGACCTCCTTACTTGTCTCGCCTATGATTTCTATGGCACCAATATCGCGTCTTGTGGCTTGGACCAGAAGATCGTGGTCACCACCACCACAGATCAATCCCTGAAATACGAGTGGAAAGCACATAATGCGCCTATTACACATGTCGCCTGGGCTCATCCAGAGTTTGGGGAGGTTCTCGCCAGTGCAGGCATGGATAGGACAGTAAGGATCTGGGAGCGCGGTGAGGAAAAGGCGGTCTTGCTCGATGCGAGAGGCAGTGTCAGACAGGTCGAGTTTGCACCGAGTGCGTTTGGATTAAAGGTCGCGACCGTGGCCACTGATGGCTGGCTTAGGGTTTACGAGTGTTTGGATTTGGGAAAGTTGGATGTCTGGGCTTTGGCGGATGCCGTAGAGCTCGCGAGGGAGGTCCAGGAGGTTCAAGGCGGCTGGGCGGTCTCCTGGTGCAAGGACAGGTATTGGGGTCAGGTCGTCGCCGCTGTCGCTGGCGCCACTGATGTCGTGAGCATCATCCAATTCTCTCCATCCACCTCCCCACAAACTGTACTCGAACTAAAACTCTCACCTTCATCTACATCTGCATCTACGACGATTACTACTGTTGCCTGGGCACCCTCCTGTGGTCGCTCGTATCATTTAATCGCTACAGGCGGGAGAGACGGCCATGTGAGGATATGGAAAGTTAATCCCCCGATGCTCGATGTCGACGACGGCGATGACGACGAAAAAGACAAGTGGTCTGCTCAGCTCGTTGCTGATTTCGGCGACCATGCCCGCATTGGTCCGTTGGAAGGCGGCGTCGTCGGCAAGGTCGACTGGAATGTTACAGGGTGGGGGGTCTACAGTGCTGCTTAATTTCATTGATTGACTTGTGCATGTAGCACCATCCTCTCATCATCTGGCTCAGACGGACGCGTGAGGCTCTGGAAGCCGAGTTTGACAAGCGGGGGCAGGATTTGGAGGATCGCAGGCAGTGTGGGCGTTGAGCAGAAGGAGTAGGAGCGCGCGCGATGATTGATTGATGTGTTTAATATCGAGTCTTAACAGTGGTAAGTCATGCATTGTATTGTACCTTGGAATGTTTTCTGTTGAACTTACACAGGATTCAGGTTACCGTAATTTCAGCTCGTCTATTGTAAGCTTACTTTATGGAAACACCAAAACAAAAAATATCCTAATCGAGTAAGCAATTGTTCTAATCAGGGCCGATTCTTACTGTGAAAAATACTTTCGATCTATTGTGATGCTTTGCACAGGGCGAATACTACAGTAAGTTCAGCTCCATATTGCCCCAGTGAAAACTCACACGTCCATGGATGAGCCGGAACGAGCCAAATCTGAATGATCCATTGCCAGAACGAGCCGTTTTCTTCTCTACTTTACTTGTATGTATTTTGTTCCCTTTTACCTTAGTTATACCTTAGTTATGCCAATCTCATTAGCTCTCACACCACTGTTTAACTAAAGTCAAGCCAATTCAAGTGAGAATGCTGTGCCAATCTGAAAGTAATGACTTGAGACAAACAAGGGCAGACAATGTCTTTGCCCTCAACCCTGTTCATCTCTGCATATACTGTAAAAAACCTTGCATCATGTATCCTTCTATCTTTTTTAAAGAATCATCATGTTTTTATGGCAGATGGAACCAACATAAATGCGGTATCAGGGTAATAGAGGCGGAGAGAGGGTTATTGACGTTGATTTAGTAAACTAGGTTCATTGACCGATTCTTCCAGTGTCTAGAATCTCGCTCACAATAGTTCTTCAGAAATGTGTCATATCTATCTACTGCTTCAACGCCACTTGCTGCGGCTCTAAACACCTCTAGTTGAGTGTTTTGTCACCAATCTCTGCTTTGTCTCTAAAGAACAGGCTTACCTTCAGCTGCATTGGTAACACCTTTGCCTGTAGCTCCATCATCGTCTTTACAGGAAACTTCACCATCCCTTCTCGACCCTCTCTCACCACCACCTGCACCTTCATCATCACTGCTCTTTCAACTCCAAATGCTGCTTCGTCATCGCCCTCACCTCCACATGCCACATTACTACTTTCTTCCATCTCATCTCCACCCACTGCTACTATCTCATCTTCAATTCCTGTTACTTCTTTGTCTATGCCTCATCTATTGTTACCACCTTCCATATGTCAAGATGCCCAGGCTAATACTGCTCCAATAGCAAATTCAACCCAGTTGGTAGGTATCTATATACTTCATGGTATACAACACTCATTTTCTGTTGGGATTGATTATTCATCCTGACACCCTGATGAGGTGTAAATGGTATTATGCAAAAATCCTTCAAACAAGGCAGATGAGATAGTAAGTCCTTAAATGATAATTGGATGGCCTATGTTACCATGTGTAAAGTCCTCATTAGTTGAACCAAGGCCGGATAGCTCAGTT